AAGTGAAGTAGTATGCGTTAACTTGTGCCTACCTTGAAGCATCATGAAAGTGTTGGTCTGGCGGAAGTTGCGTTCCGAATATCTCCCGTTCAAGTTGAATCCCGGTAGGAGGAAATTGTCAAATAACGACCTCAACTGTCGTTTGACAAACTCACGGACCGTCTTACCGCCCACCGTTTGTAGGAAGGCCATCTGAAAGTGAAAGTAAATCAAACTAAAGATATTACCGTTTCCTGCCGATAGTCGTCCCTGAGGATATTTCCTTCAAATATGTCGAAGTTCGACATGCGTTCCAAGGACGACGGGAGGGGGTTTGTTGGCAACACTGACACGGTCGGCCTCCTGTCCATCTGACGCAGCTGCTGGATGTTTGCTTCAATGGCCCCGAGGCGACTGCATATACCAGTAATAGCGGCTTCAGATAGGGTTAAATAATTGCCTGCACTTACCATTGACTTACCACTTACCATGGTGGCCGAGCGTGTGCGAGCAGCAGCCTGGGCATGCCTCATTCTGGCGGACGTTCGTGGGCACATTGAGTAAGGCTAAAATAGGCAAATTATATGAACTATACCAGTAGATTGTCCCTCAGTCGGGTTGTAATGCGCCAGCAACCTGCTGGGAGGTGGGGTTGGCAAGTTGGAGATTGTACTGCTGCTGCCCAGTTGGCCCAGTCTAGTCTGCTGGGAGGCAAAGAGTTATCAGTGTATAACATGCAACTTACGTCTCCTGCGTTACCCGGAGCCCACGCCTCCCACTCTGACGGGTTGTGTACGGCGCGCAACGGACGACCACTACGGCTATAGTCAACTTGTCGCGGAAAATTCATGGCTAGTGTTGACTAGGTGCAGTCCTGTCGAGAGAAAGTTGGGCGCCCGATGGCATCTGCTCCAAGCATCCGTGAACGACTGTTTAGCCAGCAGAATTTATGCGGAAGTCGCGAAGGGTATTCGAATTGGACAGTTGTACAGCAACCTAACATACATACATACGTACGTTCATACATGCATACGTACAAAGCACATGGTGTATAACATTCACATTGCTATACGGACCTATAGAGTCTACTAAACTTAAACAATTAAATGATTTTAACTAAAACATAGTAGTCTTCCTCAGGAAAACCTATAAACTTATCGAAATTCCTACAAATAGTTAGCTTAACTACGTCATCGGACAGCCTGGCTTTATATACTTCCGCTACCGATGACGGTAAAGGATAAATAAAAAAAAACTGAAATATCAGAAAATAATGGTACTGACAAGTTAAAACCTGAAATACTTCTAGATTGTAAGCATCTGACGTACATAAACCTACCTTCTGTTTGTATAAAGGCGTCCGCACTATTTGCGGCTATTCTATAGCTTGAC